CTTTTTAAATATTATAAAGGCTTAATGAACAAATTAGCCCTCAACATTTACCAGAATTGTTATTTTTGTTCATATTTTTTTTAGCATTTTAGCTCTTAATGTTTTATTTTTTTATCAAAACAACCCATGTTAAATGTAAATCATTTGTTAACTAACGGTTAACGCATGTTGATGATGTGTCATCTCTATTTGTGTTTAGTTGTTGACGTGACACATGTTATATCGTCAAAGTGGCAATAATCAATATATCATGTGTCATGTCACCCAAAATAATAGCACGTCATGTACCACATCATTTAAACTAATAACATGACATGTGTCACATTACCTAAAGTAATGACATGATGTGTCATGTCACAAAAAATAATGACATGACATGTGTTGCATTACTAATTAAACACATTTAAAAATGTCATGTCAGTAATATGTATTATTTACTAGTCAATTAATGGTTTTCATTCAACATAAGTTATTTTGATTCATTCAACATAACTTTGAGGCACAAAATGCTAAAAAAAGAATATGGACCATAATGATCATTTAAGTAAATGTTGGAGTTAATTTTGTCATTATGTTTATTATAAAATGGTCCCTACAACGTTACAATAAAAATATTTTTTTTATAAGTTTAAGGGTAATTTTGTAATAGTAATTGATAATTTTAAAGACTATTTTGTAATTATTCAAATAAATTCAAATATTATTTTATAATAATTGAATAAATTTTATAATTATTTTATAAATGTATAAAAAGAAAATAATCATTTTATAATATTTAAAAGGTTATTAACTGAAATAATATTTTTATAGAATTTGAATATTTCTAATGTACATTAAAACATACAATGGATCTATTTAAAGATGGTAATTTGTCCGGTTAAGTTGAATTTTTGTCGTCCATACTTAATCTGAGAATTATATCCGACAACTAATACGAGTTTAGAGGAATTTTACTTGACCTAAACTTTAGTGTAAGAACCTAATCTTAATATAAAAAATTCTCATTTTTATTCGATAAAATAAAACCTAATTTAAACAATTATTAAAAAAGTAATATAATAATTATCCATAAACATATAAAAATCAATTATAATGATATTATCGAATCGAGCCCAATATGTTTTTTATTCTCAATCCCAATTTAAACTTAACCAACCTCATTCTAAGTAAAATCTAACTTAACCTCATCTGAACCAGAATTTAAAAAAAAAAATTAGATAAATTATGGACACGGTATCCATCCTTCACCACGCAATTGAATAGACACAATTGCATCAAAAATGAAAGGAATAGAAGGGACAAATAGATTTAAATTTATTTAAAACATGCACCCTAGAAACACACACAATTGTCAAATTACTTTCATTCACTCTCTCTATCCTTGTACCGTATAAACGGACCTGTGTACTACTATCCTTTCATTAAAATGTTTAGAGATTTTGATAGTTTAAGTTCTATATTAAAAAGAAATAAATTTTGAATTTATATAAATTTTCTAATCGAATATGTAATATAAAAATCAAACTTTATTTTTTTATAAAATTATATAATAAAATTTTAATTTTAATTGAATTTTACCCATTTCAAAAAAATAATTCATCCATTTATTTTTATATTGGATGAATAAAATTATAATTATATTTACATATAAAATTTAGCCTTTTTATTTTTTTATAATCGTGTTTACATACAAAATGTAGACACTTGTTTTGTCCGGGATATTATTATTATTATTATTTATTTTGTTTTCAGGTTACAAAGAAAATCGGGCCCCAATTACAAATCCAGACCCATGCCCAAATACCAAACCCTTAAGGCCCATTATGATACAAACTTTGGCTAACCCTAATTTTAGGATTAGCCCCCTACTGTCGCTGCCACCCAGAAGATGAAGAGCCGCCGCCATCGAAGAGCCTCGTCAAGAAGCAAGTCGCGCCGATCTTCTGAGCCACAAAGCCGAGTCGGGTTGAATTTTAATAGAACCTGAGGATCAATGCTCTGTCCCAAACAAGGAGCTTGCTGCTCCAACACTCCACTCCACATCTCCACAGTAAGCAACCACAAATACCAAAGCATTGTAATGATTTCATTTTTGAAAAATTTGTAAAAATCAGGGGTTATAAAACATGAACAATTGTAAGCAAAAGGGGTTCATTTTTTAGTTTTTCAAAGGCAATACAAGCAAAAAAGAAAACTTGAAGGTATTATTTTTCTTTTTTATTTTCAGTTTCGAATAAAAATAAAAAAGAGCTAAGCATATTTACGCATTAAAAACGAGAGAGGAATGAGAGATTTGGAAAGATACTTGAGAGGGGAGTCGAACCGGAGGGCTGATTCGTCTTCGCGGCGGTCGGATCGGGAGAGAGTCGAAAGGTCGAGGAGCCTTTGGGGGGGTTTAGGGGTCTTTTTAGGTGGTTTAGGCCCTAGATCTAGGCTTAGGTGGGTAGATCTGAAAATATAAGAGGTTTTGGGTCAGTTTAAGAGTTCCGACCGCTGCATGTGGCGGCCGGAGAAGTGGTAGGGCGGCCAGAAGGAAACCAGCCAAAGGAAATAAGAGAAAGGGAGAGGATTTAGATTTTTTTAAAAGTTTTGGTTGAAATGAAAAAAAAAAGAGAAAATAGGTTTTATAAGAAAACTTTAGGGTAAATTCGTTTTTTATTTAAAATTAATATTTTTATTAAAATGACTAATATGTTTTTTGGGACCATCGGTAAAATGAGATTTCAAAAGTTATTTTATATTACGATCTTTGATCTATTTTTTATTTTATTTAATTTGACCATGCAATTTTATTTTATTTTAATTTGGTACCCATATTTTTTTATTTTATCCTTTGTATTTTTAGCACTTAATGTTAAAACTGTTCATTTTGGTCACTTTTGCACTTTATTTTATTTTAGTTTTTGACATGATGATTTATTTGTTTACATTCTAGTCCTATTTGCATTTTGTTTTATTTTAATTTTTGTATGTTGCTTTTATGTTATTTTATTTTAGTCACTAATTAATTAGGTTATCTTTATTTTAAATTAATTTGCATGATATCCTCACAAACATTTCTTGATTCGAATCAAAATAAATTGACTAAGGGTAATATATGTTAATTTTAAGATTGTTTTGAAGTGGTTGTCTTAACGTATAAGAAAGTTATTTTCGATAATCTTAAAATGAAAGTGTATCCCATTAAGTGATATAGATTAAATTGATTCCATTTTAAAATTTGGGGATTGAAAAAGAGATAATGTTCTTTTAATTAAGTTCACCGAGAAAAGACTGTTAGATTGAATCTAAGGTCTCGTCTCGATGTATTTAAATAATCAAACATACTTATTTTCATTAAAGGTTGGTAAAATAAATAATTAATTGTACTTGCTTGATGTATGTTTTATTATTATTTTTTTGCATGCTTTTTTTCATAACTTCAAAATAAATAACACTATGATTAATTTTGAATTTTAGGACGGAATAGTAATATCTCTTCATTTCGATTTGAATAATAAATGACCGCTTTAAGGCATGAGAGTTCTTTTATTCTCGATTAGAAATAATTAGATATTATCGTTTTCTCTCGAATCAATATTGAATTTTAGGACAAAATAGTAATATCTCCAAATTTTGATTGGAGTAATAAATGATTGCTTTAAGGTATGAGAGGTCATTTATTATCGATTGAAAATAATTAGATGTTATCGCTTTCTCTCCTAAAATTCAAAGGAAATGTTTTAAAAAAAGCTCTTAGAGTTATTTTGTTTTATTGTATTGTTATTTATACACTTAATTTTTGAATTAATAATGAGTTTTAGAATGGAATTGTAGCATTTCTTTATTTTAGTTGGAGTAAGAATCGGCTGCTTTAAGGCATGAGAGGTTGATTATTCTCGATAGGAAATAATTAAATATTATTATGTTTTGTTCTAGAATTCAAAGAATATTATTTGTATGAGATCTTAAATTAAATTAAATTAAACTTGAACTCGTAAATTTCATTTCAAAGACGATTAATTAATCGACTAGGTATCGATTTAAGGCGTTATGGGGGTGCTAATCCTTCCCCACGCGTAAACGACTCTCGAACATAATTTTTTGGTACGTAGACTGTAACATTTTTTGAAAAATGAGAAAACGTTTTCCAAAGTTTCTTACCTAGTAAACTATTTCCAAAATTGGTAAGTCCTTCGAACCATCAGTAAGTCTTTCGAGCATGATGATTAAATCATTCAGGTCATCTATAAGCTTTTCGAGCAAGATGATAAGTCCTTCGGGCCATCCGTAAGACCTTCGGGCATGATGTTTTCACATGTTTTTCGAAAAATGAGAAAACGATTTCCAAAATTTCTCATTTAAATATGAAAATTGAAAATTTTGAATAGTAAGGAAATGATTTCCAAAATTTCTTACCTAGTAAACTATTTCCAAAATTAGTAAGTCCTTCTAGCCATCTGTTAGTCATTCGAGCAAGATGAAAAGTCCTTCGGGAAATCTATAAGACCTTCGGGCAAGATGCGTTCATGAAATATTTTGAAAATTAAGAAAGCGATTTCCAAAGTTGCTTACTTAGTAAGTTCTTTGAGCCATCGGTAAGTCTTTCGAGCATGATGATTAAACCCTTTGGGTCATTTATCAATCTCACTTAAGACAACATCAAGATGGAACCAGACAAAAACGTGTTGTATTTTTATCTTTGCCCTATTCTTGTTAACACAAGCATGGGCAAAGAGGGGCAACTATAGACACCCGTTTTGTTCGGGATATTACTATTATTATTAGTAATAATAATATTATTATTATCGTTATTATTAATAATATTATTATTATTATATATATTTTTATTTTGTTTTCATGTTACAAAGAAAATCGGGCACCAATTACAAATCCAGACCCGTGCCTAAATATCAAACTCTAAAGGCCCATTATGATACAAACTTTGGCTAACCCTAATTTTAGTGTTATCCACTTACCGCCGTCGCCACCCAGAAGATGAAGAGTCGCCGTCGCTGAAGAGCCTAGTCGAGAAGCAAGCTGCGTCGATCTTCGGAGCCACCAAGTCGAGCCGGGTCGGATTTTAATGGAACTCGAGGAACAGTGCTCTGCCCCAAACAAGGAGCTTTTTACTCCAACACACCAGTCCACATCTCTACAGCAAGCAAAAACAAATACCAAAGCATTGTAATGATTTCATTTTTGAAAAAACTGTAAAAATTAGGGGTTATAAAACCCGAACAGTTGTAAGCATAAAAGAAAACTTGAAGGTATTTTTTTTCTATTACGAATAAAAATAGAAAAAGGAATAAGCATATTTACGCATTAAAAATGAGAGAGGAATGAGAGATCTGGAAAGATACTTGAGAGGGGAGTTGAACCGGAGGACTAGTTTGTCTTCGCAACGGCCATAGATGAAGAGAGCCAAAAGGTCGAGGAGTTTTTGGGGTTTTGGGGTCTTTTTAGGTGGTTTAGGACCTAGATCTAGGCTTAGGTGGGTAGATATGAGGTTTTGGGTCGGTTTAGGAGTTCTGATCGTCATATGTGGCGGCCGGAACGACGGCCATAACGATTTCTGGAGTAGTGGGGGCGAAAGGAAATCAAACAAAGGGAAAAAGAAAAAGGGGAGAGGATTTAAATTTTTTTAAAAAGTTTCGGTTAAAAAAATAGAGAAAATAGATTTTATAGTAAAACTTTAGGGTAAAATCACGGATAGATCCCTTTAACTTAAGCGTGTTTTTGCATGTTGGTCACTTGTAGGTACCAAAGTTTTCATTTACCCGTTTTTATGTATGCTTACTATTTTTGGGATATTTGTTGTTTAGTCCCTATAGTTTAGTGTATTTTTGCATGTTGGTCACCTGTAGGGACTGAAGTTGTTATTTACCCATTTTTATACCTGTAATGTTTTTTTTGGGATATTTGCTGTTTATTCCCCCTTATTTAGGCGTGTTTTTACATTTTAGTCATGTGTAGTGATGATTTAATTTTATTTTAATATTTCTGGACTGATTTAGTAATTTACTCATTTTTCTTTAAAAGCGTGTTTTAGGCTGATAAAAAATGAATAATTGTGAAATAGTCTATGTAGTTTCAGGATGTTTTATATTTAGATCTCTGATCCTTTTTTTTATTTTATTTAATTTGATCATGCAATTTTATTTTATTTTAATTTGGTCTCCATATTTTTCTTAGTTTTATCCTTTGTAATTTTAGCACTTAATGTTAAAAATGTTCATTTTGGTCACTTTTGCACTTTATTTTATTTTAATTTTTGACGTGATGATTTATTTGTTTACATTCTAGTCTATTTGCATTTTGTTTTATTTTAATTTTTGCATGTTGCTTTTATGTTATTTTATTTTAGTCACTAATTAATTAGGTTATCTTTATTTTAAATTAATTTGCATGATATCCTCACAAACATTTCTTGATTCGAATTAAAATAAGTTGATTAAGGGCAATACATTCATTTTAAGATTGTTTTGAAGTGACTGTCTTAAAGTATAAGAAAGTTGCTTTCAATAATCTTAAAATGAAAATGTATCTCATTAAGAGACACGAATTAAATTGATTCCATTTTAAAATTTGGGATTGAGAAAGAGATCATGTTCTTTTAATTAAGTTCACCGAGAAAAGACTGTTAGATCGAATCTAAGTTCTCGTCTCGATGTATTTAAATAATCGAACATCCTTATTCTCATTAAAGTTTGGTAAAATAAATAATTAATTGTACTTGCTTGATGTATGTTTTATTTTTAATTTTTGCATGCTTTTTTTCATAACTTCAAAATAAATAACAATCTGATTAATTTTGAATTTTAGGACGAAATAGTAATATATCTTCATTTCGATCGGAATAATAAATGGATGCTTTAAGGCATGAGAGGTTTTTTATTTTCGATTGTAAATAATTAGATAATATCGTTTTCTCTCTAATCAATATTGAATTTTAGGACGAAATAATAATATCTCCTCATTTCGATTGGAGTAATAAATGATTGTTTTAAGGCATGAGGGGTCATTTATTCTCGATTGGAAATAATTAGATGTTATCGTTTTCTCTCCTAAAATTCAAAGAAAATGTTAAAAAAAAGGGTCTTAGAGTTATTTTGTTTTATTGTATTGTTATTTATACGCTTAATTTTTGAATTAATAATGAGTTTTAGAATGGACTTGTAATATTTCTTTATTTTAGTTGGAGTAAGAATCGACTGCTTTAAGGCATGAGAGGTCGATTCTTCTCGATAGGAAATAATTAAATATTTTTATGTTTTGTTCTAGAATTCAAAGAATATTATTTGTATGAGATATTAAATTAAATTAAACTTGAACTCGTAAATTTCATTGCAAAGACGACTAATTAATCGACTAGGTACCGATTTAGAGCGTTGTGGGGGTGTTAATCATTCCCCACGCGTAACCGACTCTCGAACTCAATTTTCTGATACGCAGGCCGTAAATTTGTTGTTTTAATTAAAATTAATATTTTTATTAAAATGACAAATATATTTTTTGGGTGTCCAATCACACCCTAATCAAAGATAGGTGGTGACTCCTCAAATCACGTTTTATTATTAACATGTCATTAAATTATTTAAGATGAGATCTTTTAAAAATTAGATTTTAAGAATTAATTTTTTTTAAAATTGTTTCGACACAAAATAGAGAAATAATTTTTTATATTTAAGTCATGCTAACATGGCCAACATTAACTAGTCGCTAAAGTCGATGAAGACCGAAAGGGTAGAGCCAAATACAAAGGAATTTCTTAATGCACATTTTTTATACTACACCCGTCTCTATCTCTCTTTTGAAATGGAACCTGTCTCTAATCTCTATAGCACATAGCGAGTTATTGTCCTTTTAGGGTAAATTGTAGGCACAAGTCAGTGCGTTTATAGTTGGTCGTCGTAATGTAAAAATTCAATCAAATTGTAACATTTTGATCGTTGGATATTTAATGTAAATTAATTTTGGGGGTTAACTTGCAACTAGGTTGTCGGATTGGAATATGACTCGTCTTGATAGATAAAAAGGACATTAAATTTTTCATGTTCATATTTTATTTGGGCGTAACGAAGGCCTCCTAATCGGAGTCATTGTATTATGAGTAAGCTTATAACTTAATTATAGTATTTTAGAAAATTACAATCGAATCATTTTATTTATTTATTGATACAATTGGGTTTCTTTGGTCACTCAACTTTTATTTATGGGTGATTCTTTTTTTTTTCTAGTTTTCTTATAGATTGGTGCAACATCAATTATTTAGACAAAAATTATTTGATATTTCTATAATATATGAATCTATAAAAAAAATAACAAAAATAGTTTCAACTTGAATTGTTGTTTGATAAAATGTTAACCTGAGAAATAAAATAATAATAATAATAAACATATATTATTATATAAATCGAATAAAATAAAATAAATAAATAATTAAAATAGAGGAACAAAATTGGTTACTCATATGTAGACATGAAATCAAATGAGTAGAAATAGAATTTTGTTGAGGCACGTATGAACATTTCCCTTAAAACATATTTTTCCTTTCCTTGGTGCTTTGAGTATTGTTGGACATCAGTCTCCCGATATACAACAACAAATGATCATAATAGTATGCACCACCGTAATGATCAGTTGAACACAATCATGTATTTCTCTTTCACCAGAAAGAATGGATTTGGAAGGAATTTTTGAAGTATTTCTTATTCCAAAATTCTACATTGTAACTTGTTTTGTCTCTAAGATTTGTGCCTCAACTAGCCTATATAGAGAAAAGGAATTGGGTTGAAGGGTTAAGATATTTTGATAAAATAACTTGTTAGATCGAAGAGGCTCAATTTTATCAACCGAAAAATGCACAAGGGGTGAATTGGCAAAAAATTGTTTAGGAAGTAAGGAGAATAAAATATAGAAAAATTGGCACAACGATTTATAGTGGTTCGACTTCTCAACTAAGTCTACCTCCACTACCTTAGCTCCCCACTAAGGATTTTTCCAACAAATCCACTAATTTGTTCTTTCTTTTTCAATGATCAAGAGTAACCTTTACACTCCCTAGTTTTTAACTTGGCTAAACTAGAATCAATCCCCTTTACAAAAGGTAAAAAGAAGTAAACAAATAAAACCTCTTAAAGGTAGGGTGTTTACAAATTAAAGCTCACAAGAACAAAATATTTACAAGAAAATAGAAATAAAGAGTGAAAAACTCTTCTCTTGTGTTTGAATGCTTTGATAGGTGTTCTAACCCTTCTTCAAGTGTCTTGAACTTGTATTTATATGTTGGAATGAAGTTGTGGTTGTTTCTAGCCGTTGGGAGTCTTTTAAAGCCGTTGAGTAGGTTTTTCTCTACAAAACAAAACAGTCCAGAACAGAGGGTATCGATACTCCTATAGGGAGTATCGATACTTCCTTTATATTTTTAAATGCAACTAGCCTTTAACTAGCCGTTGGGCCTGACAGTATCGATACTAAGCCTATGGTATCGATACTACTATGTAAAGTAGTATCGATACTACTATGTAAAGTAGTATCAGTACCACTTTGGGTATCGATACCATTTTGCATTCTGGAATTTGAGCAATGCTGGTAGTATCGATACTTCTCTTACCTTGGGTATCGGTGCCACATGAACAATATCGATATTGTTCATATAGTATCGATATTGTAAGAATAATATCGGTATTTTTTGTACGTCAAAAATTGTTTTGTGCTCAAATTCACTTTTAATGGACTTTGAATTATTTTTGAAAACTTTAAAAAATTCAATTTAAGTCCAAAAACATTTTCCCTTAAATTGTTATATTAAAATATTATAAAAAGTGGTTCAACGAACTTAACATTTTGATGAAAAAAATTGTCTAATAGGTATGATTGAATGAATGCAATTTTAAACAAAAAAATTAAGTCTATTCACCAAGTGATGTGATTTATTATCAGTAAATTATAAATAACATCGATTCATTAAATTATTTTTTGTAACAAACGAGAATGTTATCGTATTTTATTGTACACCAAGAAAGAAAACTTATTATAATTTTTAACTAATTTGATATGTAATGAGCACGTGAGAAACAATCCGAACGTATGATAAAATTCAAGCAGAAATATTATTTTGGTTTTTCTCTAAAAATTCATGAAGTAAAAAAGTACTTAAGAATTTGTATCTAGGAAGAACACCAAGCTAATGAGAAATTTACATATACCAACCTATAAGAAATTTAGTAAAGAAAACCCCAAATAGTTCATTCACATCCTAAAGTTGATGAATCAAATTGTAAACCTAATCATAGATGACCCAATAAAATGTAAAATTACCCAGAAAAATTAACGTTAGTTATATATTTAATGATAAAGTAACTCGATTATTACTATTAATAAATAAAATGACTCAATTCTAAATTTTTAAAATACAATAACCTAATATAACTTTACTCATAAGTTATAGCACGATGACTCGTATAACTTATCTGCAATTTCAATAAATTACAGGTACTTTACTTATATTTGAACATTCCATAGAGTACCTTATAATCATTTTAGATTAGTCAAAAAAAATTCTTAATTAAAAGTGAATTTTCTTATAAAATAATATTACATATCCATATAAAATAATATTACGTGTTTTATTACATCATCATTTAACATTGTTAGATTTAACATAAAATTACGAATTTTATTACATCATCATTTAATATTGTTAGATTTAACAAACATTTTAAAAGATAGAAAGAAAATATAAAACACATTAAACATTTAGAAAATAAAGACACCAGATCCACCACTTTCCAAAACACTCCTCCACTCAGCTGATCCCGAGTCCACCATAAAAAAACTAAAATCAACCATGGCCGCAGCAGCCAGAGTGATAGCCGTCACCGGCC